ACCGCACAAGCGAGCCCGCAGCACTGATAATTCCTAAGACTTTCTCTGGTTCGAGGCTAATCTGAAAGGGCTGCTTGTGCACATCCCTCTATGGTTAGGACAAAGTCTGAATATTGCTTATTTTAGGCCTCAATTCCCTCAGGTAAAACTGCACTCCACCTTGGCCAAGTGGCCGCAGATTAGCCTACACATCTGCCTTCCCTCGGTGGACTTGCATACTATAGCTAATAGCATTTTTGGATGTGCCTGCATGTGAGATCACCTCAGAGTCCACCCCCCACCCCCCCCCCCTTGCCCGAGACAAGACAAATGGGTTTGGGGGTTTATTAATGGGCTTGTTTATACACCAGAGAGATTCTGAAAAGCCTTTCTAACTGAGGGGGACTGACCTAGTTGCGTGTTTGTGACTCAACACACTGCATGCAAAAATGTTTATGCAGAAGTAGATGATTGATTCTTCCTTTGGTGACTTCATTCTTTAATCTCCCTGGGATGACTGGTATTTCTGAACACTTGATTCTAAAGATTTCTCAGTAAACAGACCGTTAACTTCCAAATCTTTTGATGCATTTATGCCAATAACTTGTTGGCACCCTCATGCAAAGTCAAACGCAAAACAGGTATAACGATAAGCGGGAATAATTCTCAGGTAAAGCTTTTGAATCATTCTTTTAAAAGTTTAGTAACTTGCACAAGCCCACAGCTTGCTATTTTCAGGGTCATCTGGTAATTAATTATGCATCGATTTAAGACAATCAACTCAAATGACCTGTCCGCTGTAGATCTGCTGTGTACCTCATGTGCAAAAATTATCTAGGGAGAGCAAATAACAACTCACCCAAGTGCTCTTAGTCCTCATCTCCCACAGTAAATTTCCTAATTATTTTTCGTTTTGTTTTGTTGTTTGAGCTGGATGAAAGACAGTTGTTTATGTCTTGGATTCTCGGCTGCTACAAGCAGACATTCAGCTGACTAGACGAAATCTTCAATTGCCCAAAGCTGGAGCCGATTCCTAGGCTTACTTTGAACTACTCTGGTCCATTTGAACCTCAATCATGACCCCCATGAAAGATCAATCAAAGACGACAAGCCTAATAAAAGATACCACTGCAAACAAAGAAGGTTACGAAACCGAATTAGCAAATGATGGAGGCGAGGTCTTTGAGGGAAATCATTTAGGCGGAACAAAAATATGAGTCAAGTGAAAGATTGCAGGCATGCTCCTCATTCTTCTTAAGAGCGTCGGATGGAAAAGGGTCTGGATGCACATGGGAATCAGAAAAGATTTGAGACATTAGAAGCACATGGTACATTGAGAAACCGACAAAGGAATCTCAAAATGTTAAACATACGAAGTCATGCAGCTGAATGGGTGCTCTGAGCCCTGGGAGGTGGAGTGGCTCAGGCTATAAAGCTGCCCAAACATACCGCAGCAGCATGCTAACTGGGCTTCGGATCTGGCTGCTCCTGGTTTGGCACCTCTTGCCGCTCTGAGTGCCCTCGAAGCAAGTTGGGTAGGGATGTATGGCCAAAGGCTAAAGTTTTGAAGAGCTATGCTGTTACATTCAGTCTTGATGTCAAGTTCAAGAAGAGCTCCGCCACTGCTAGGCTGTTAGAACACTGACCACATGTCAGAATTATATGGTTCAGTCGTCAACCAGGTCTATAATCTTGACACTTTTGCCATCGGTCACTTCCAACGCTTGAGAGTTCATCAGCGATTGAAACACTTTGCACAAACTCTTATTTGCTGCTTAGGCTTAGTGCCCCCCACTGACTCTGGATGCATTTTTGTGCCTCCATTTTATCTGTCTGTTCTACTGGGCATCATCCATCCATACATCCATTTTCTGAAACCACTTGTCCTAAACAGGGTTGTGGGGGGGTCCAGAGACTATCCTGGAGACTACAAATGCAAGGCGGGGAATAGCCTAGGACGGGGTGCTAACTCATCACAATACCAGACATCATATATTTTTATATTTCAGTAATCAGTACATCTCCTTACCCTTTAAGTTTATATTTATTGAGATTAATTGTACAGCTTTGTACTGATGCCACTATTTATCATATAATCGCATTTCTCCTTTTTTTCTTATGTTCTATGTTGTCTGTGAATGCATGCACCAATACTGCCAGAACAAATTTCTTGTACCTAGCCATTAAAGAGAATTCTGAATGAACCTGAATTCTGAATGAACATCAAACACACAAAGCAGCACACGAGGTCCAGCCCTGAAGACGGCCACTTTGTAAACGGCCTGCCCTGCCCGTGTACTCCAAGGCCAGGACAGTGTGGGAAGGCGTGCGACGAATTAGAGAACAGCAGCAAGGGGGCCACCACCACGGCTACTCAAGGCAGGAAATAACAACCCCTGTATTCAATTAATGCAACATCACTGCAAATGAATGTCATCTAAAGTTGCGTAGAGAGGAAAGGGGGGCTTCTGTTTCACTGTCAATCTCACCTTTGTCCCTCAAGAAACAAAAGCATGCCACTAACGGAAAAGACATTGCATCAATGGCAGGCTGGTAAGTGGCAGCACTCCTAGGGGGGTGAGTGGTTCTCGTTCATTCATATCTAAAGGTTATGGGAATCTTCAGACAGCTTGCCTAACGAGCACAATTCGCTTTTCACCAACTCTGGATGCGTCTCTTGTGATCTCAGTCCTGAAAAGCTATTGCCCCTTTGTAGTTCTCGTTACGCCTCCTGTCCGCCCTTCTCTTCCCACGCTCACTAATCATATTAAAGTCTTGGCTGTCCATGGAGCTCGGACAACAAGCTCATCTGAAGGCCAGGATGCGATCTTCTTCAGCATCACATGGAGCCAGCTCCTTGTCTTTGATGTGCTCTGGTCAAGTATAAATGTAATAAAACACATTCTCAGGGTGGATGCCTGAAGCCTCCACAGGCTTTACAGATGGGAACGATATCAAATAAAGTGAAAATATCGATAATCTGACAGTTGGAGTGGATTACCCTGGATAAATCAAGCAGGACGCGGTACATTGCAACAAAACATCAAGGTGTACCTAATGGGATCCTTTTCTCCAACTTTCATTTGCATTTTGAGGACGGACCCTTTGGGAGCTGACAATTCCTGTGAATTCTCACTGCGAAGGACAGGACAGAGGGGACATTTGGGGGGTGGGGGGGGGGTTGTGATTGTGACGGTTGAAGCCGGCAATCCTTTATTTCAAAACAAGGACAAGCCGCTAATAAACAATGAGCCCAGGGGATGGGTGTTTGCATTCTGAGGGCCACTGCTGTGTGTGATTGCCCTTGTGAATGATGGAAGCATGACTATATATGTATTTGCATGCCAGGGTACCATGGAGGAATCACACTGAAGGCACTGAGGGCTACATTTCAATCACAATGCCTCCTAGTCATTCTGTTATTGATTGTATGGGGGGATGCAAAAAGCAATGCGAGTTTACCTTCCTCATATTTAACCTCATGTCCACTAGCTGCATGTCCACTAGCTGCAATTTACTAACCCATTCTAAGACAGAGTATGAAAAATTGTTTAATTTCAGCAGATTATCCAAGTTTAAACGTCTGTCAGCACAGCACAAATGTGTCTCTTCACAAAAGTTGCTGCAATTGCTTTAGCATGAATCCAAGAGTCTGAATGCTAACGAGTCATTCCTTCAAGTTCTTTGAGCTCCATTTATCGCGCTACGTTCCATCAAAACAAACCCCAGGAGAAAACAGAGAAAAAACACAGTTCTCAGTTGTCCTGGCAATAATCCATTTTCAACTTCCAGCCACATATTGGATTCCATTTGACTGAGGAGACCCGACGAGACCATCAGTCTCCGTTTTCCCGTCCCTGGGGGGGGTCAGGGCAGGAGGGAGGGGGCCTTTCCTTGTGGGGGATTAAATACCTTAAGCACAAAGCAATTCTTATGGGCAGTGGGGTCACCAGCTATCTCAGCAAGTTATACTGGAATGTAATCGTCGGAACACAACATTATTAAGGTATATGACGAGACAGCGAGATCCTGACCACGTCATTCCTGCATAATTGATGAGGTCGCTTGTACACTTTCGCAGTTTAAAGACATTTCAATGCTGTAAAACAAAGTAAACATGAAAGCAGACTTTACTAACAAAGTTGAATAAATGACACTTACTTGTGGCTAATATCTACTAAACACCAGTATCTATAAAATGTGTATATTTGACTGTCAAGGGTTCAAATTTCCGTTTATTGATTATATTGGTTATTATCACTGTGCTGTCGGAAGCAGATTAATCTGGCACCAACTGAAGTTGTGAGTAGACAGTGCCAGTTTCAGGGAAGATTTCGGAGAGCGCTCATTTGAATTAACGCTGCACATGGCACACAGTTACACCAGTGGGTAACATCAGCAAAGACGTGTTCTGGTATGGTTTAATTTGGCCAAGGGCAATAATGTTATGTCATTACTGCATAGCAGACTGGGCAGACACACTCCTGCCCAATGCTTATGTCTGAGTTGATGCCACATACAGCCACATCCAGCACACAGTGTCCACAGCCGCAGTCTGTGGCGGACACCAGTCCAAACCTCATTTCCAGCTGTGACCCGCCCTACCAGAATGCTGCCTCCTTGCCTTTGGCATTTATTTAAAAGGGAAGTGGAACAACGCATTGAAAAATGGGTGGCAGCATGACGCGGTCTGGTGACATAGGGAGGCCCACATTCCACTGCGAATTGCCTCCAGAAAGCTCACCCTAAATCTACAGTGACCTGCCCTAACCTCCCCCTTGAAGGGACTGTAGCCGGGAGTCTCAGAATGTCCAATAAACAATCTCAAAATGTAATCCGGACACCGAGGACAGGAGTAAATTAAAAGCTATGACAGGAAATAAGCTGCAAACTGGTCTCTTGTTTTGCTGCGTCATTAAGTAACAGGTTATGGAGACATCGCATGCACTGGGTGGACAGAGGAAACATCGATGGTAAATTCTTAGCGCTTGGGGCAGAATGGGGGTGACAGTGGGACATACCCTCCCGGCAATCTTCTCCGAGGAATCCCGGGCAGCAGCGCCACTCCAGGGCCATCACCAGCCGGTAGGTCACACGGTATGTGGGCTTGACCAGTGTCCTGTAACTGACATGAACATCATACATACCATGTGTACCATACACACGATGCAGTATAAGATGGCAGGCCAAGTAACCCATTCATGGGGGAGATCATGAAGCACACCATTCACACGCATGCCCAGAGACACCAGTGCTGTCTTTGGGCCGTTGGAGCAAAACCATAAGAACACAGGGAGAATGTGCAAATATCACACATGCAGAGGAAGTTGGACTCAAATCTATAACCCAGAAAGTGTTCAGGCCCGTTTACACTTTGCACGTCCGCGTAGCTGCAAGTGTCTGCAACGGTTGAGTGACGTAATTTTCGTCATCAGCTATGATTGGGTGTTGGTTGACCCCGAACAGAAGCTTCCAGATTCTACCACCCAGGTCCACGGTGCTTTTTTAATGAGCATTTATGGATGGATGGACTCTTCTTGCATTCAGTTCCCACAATTCGACATGACATGCCAAATTTGATCCGTCAGGGCTTGAACATTGACGTCGCTGCTTCAAAAAAGCCCAGTCTGCAAGTTAGACTGAAAATGTTAACTTGCTCCAGCAGACGTGGTAGTGCAAGACGTGAAAGCACAGCCAGCGGTGTTCTCAGGCGTAGCACCACCAGCGAAGACAACGAGCCCATTTTGGATGGATCCCAAAGACATAAAACGATGGAATGTAGTGTAATGATGTTTCAAATCACAGATATCTCTGTGATAAATGACTGAGTTCCTGCTCCAGAGTCATTTCTTGGGGCAATGGCAGACAGGGGAATATAAGAATGGCAAAGGAAAAGAAATGAATTCATACTTTTTTGAGGCAACGAGGCCAATGTCTTGCCTGGAATATAAAGTGTATGCCATTCTGGGTGACTGCCTTGGGTGTAAATCTTACTTACTTTAGAACAAGCAAAGAGACAAGCACAGTTTTCATACAGGGATTTTAATTATATAAAATATCTGGTGTCCAAGCAAGTTAAAAGAAAAGCCTCCAATGAACTGGACTAAAAGTTTTTCAAATATTTATCGCCATTATGTCAGTTCAATGTTTTCATAAGTCTCAAATCACAGCAAACTGTACCAAAGACAAAAATTACTGCTGTATTTAATCAAGATTATTTTGATTTATGGAAAAACATGTAATATTTGAGCAACAGGGTGTTCTGACAAACTATCTTCTATTGATAACAAATATATGAAAAGATTCAGACCCCCAATGCAAGCTGTTACTTCATCCGGTAAGCACTCCAGCAAGCTCACTGTTTTGACTGATATGTAAAAATGCATGTTAAAAAAATGTCTTTAGTGTCAAAGATGGTGGATGGGGTTAGATTCACCATAATATATGTCATACTTACCAAGGGGGTGGGGCAAGTGGGTGACACTCTGGGCTTATACCCTTATACATGTTAATTTGAGGTACTTCCAAGTCCTCTAATCTCCTCTGAAAGCCCAGTGCAGACAATCAATGTTTCCCAATCCTGCTCCCTGCCAGACAGTCCACATTCAGCTGGGAGGGAGTAAAAACGTGGACTGTCTGCGGGTCCCCAAGGACCGGACTGGGAAACACTGTTCTAAATGACCCATAGTGTGTGGATGGCCAACTTGTGGCTTCCCCCCCAGGGTGTGCCCCTGGGATTGGCTTCAGAACCACTGTGACCCTATACTGGATATGGAGCATGGAACATGGATGTATGTGTTACACTAATACTAATCAGCAATGGATTGTGTTCTAAGCCTCAGAAACACCAACAACCCAAGGATCTGCTGCAGTCCATTATTGCCTAGAAGTGAAACCTTCAATCCAAAGAAAGTGGACCTTATCACAGACTTGGCTAAAGTAGGAAGTACTTTGAAGTTCATGATCTGGAGCCTTGCTGTGGATTTTTCACATTATTTACATTTCTATCTCCAAGGACACACAAAGGTCCATCTGCCCTTGCCATATTTCGTTGGGGAAAAAAAGCAGGTTCTCCAAATGCAGACCTTCAGGTGGCCTTCCACTGGCTGCCCTTTCTTCTGCAGGTTGTTTACAGAAACTAAAGATGTTTCACATTATTGTTCAAGACACTGGGTTCTGCTGTGCTTTCCCTAAGTTTTTTTGGCAAAAATAGGCCTATATTTACCCAAAAACAAAGTTCAACTGGTTATTACAGGTGTTCTGTTCCGCTAGTCCTTCATGGAGTTCCCAGATACATTATGGCCATGTCTTAATCAAATACACAACTCAGAAACATCATTTAACTATTGAATACAAACTGTGAACATGTGACTCCCAGTATCCAACAGTGTCAGGAAGCACAGATGTTAATGTGTTGTTATGAAGGAGGAAAGTAAGACCAGGTAATGAGACAGAGGAGAGAGAAATAGGTACAACAGAAGCTTCTAGAATCCATACCTTATGAGGTTGTTGCAGGGTCCTGGCCAGCGGCAGCTCTGAAACACCCTTTGCACCAGCTTCTCAGTGCCATTCTGCACCTGGCACGTCACAGTCTTCGACACCGTGTACTGGCACCAGTTCCTGCTGAAAGATGCCACCAGGGGGTGTAGTTCACTCTTCCTGCATAACGCCATGAAAAAGGTTGTACCTACACTATTCAGCACAGCAGCATTAGTCAGGTGCTACCACTTCAAATCAGATTTTTATGTTTGTATTTTTTTTTACATCCAGGTAATAACACAGCAGAATTTCCAGCTACTGTCTGATTGCTTTGACAACAGCTGGGCCAACTTACAAGTTAATCAGTTTTTTTTAATAAGAAAACCTAGCTGTTTTCTTTGAATGATGAATTCCAGACATTCCACAGTGTAGGACACGTGAAGTGAAACACACACTTGCAGACCCTGGAACATGAGCTGGGGGTGAGGTCAGGGAGTGTGTGGAGTGTGAGAAGGAGCTGGGTTCTGAATTTTCTGGGGATCCCAAGCTTTCGTTTCTGTCGTCTGCGGTGAGAATGAGGAGGTATTTTAAGCCAAGGTCGAGCTGTTGGGAGTGACAAGTGACTTTGTTGGGAGTGACAAGTGACTTTGTTGGGAGTGACAAGTGTTAACAAGGTTAACTTTGTTGGGAGTTAACTTCATTAAAGGGAACAATGTCAGTCTTAAAAAGATTTAAAGAATCTGTCCTTGTGACCTAGTGTCGATGGAACTTAAATTCTGATCTTCTAACAACTGTGTTAATGGAAATAATAGCAATACAATAAACAGATACAAAGGGAAAATGCATGAATTAAATTAGATTCAGAATATACCAGGGATGCGTTCAATTAAATGTGATACAAAATTATGCTAGGTGCCCCTTCAGTGGGTGGCCCACTCTCTTGTGACCTTTGCTGCCACTGACCCTGACAAAGATAATTAGTTAGACAAAGACTGTTCGAATTCAGGGACTGCATCCTTTGAAGGACATGGTCTATGTACCGTTTGTAGGCTGTGCCCTTCAAAGGGCCACGCAAAGAATCTTGGGATATGTTGGGCTGCAAAGGATCCACTCGGCAAGGACAAGACGCATTCCTAGACCACATTCGAAGGAGTCTTCAAAATGGGACAGCCCTGTCACGTTGCTATGACATATTTGGTTTTCGAATGTATCCTTAGAAGGATGCGTGTCGAAGGATAATATGGACAATAGTATGAGTTGATTCAAAATAAAATAGAAAGAAAAATCCTAAAATTAACTGACAAACTGATAGGCCACCTAAGACTTCATACATGTGGATAATGAGCCATGTCTGTAAATTCAATGACATCTATATGCATCTGTGCATGACCTTAGTAACAATATAGAAATATTCTCTTTAGTGTACATCTATCATTATTGCGCCTTTTCTGGAAGTGCGCTTGCAGAATTTCAGGTGTAAACACTTACTGAAATACTCAAATCTAGACTGAAATAAAAGTCTCTTTACGCGACTAAAGTCTCTTAATGCGAATATATTCATCGGCTTTATCTGCAGATAAACCATTGAAAACTGGATAAGTATGTGTTTACATCTGTAATGAAAACCGCTACTCTGGTTTCAAAGCTACCCCGTGTAACACAAACTTCCGTCCCGTTTTACCCCGATGTGTTTGGTTCACGAACAACCCGTGTAAGATGAGCTCTGAATAGAAGGCGACGCCGCTCGCTCACACTTCCCGCAGCATATCTATCAACATATTGGCTACATGTTATGCTCTCAAAATTTAATCAACCCGTTGTGCGTTAAGGGGAGGACAGGAGAGACACCTCCTCCCTCGCCCCCAGTTACGAATTTCAGGTAATAAGAAAGTGCAAGAAAGCCCTAAATCTCATCATCTGTTCTACTTTCACACTGAACAGTCCATTACAATATTTCGTGAAACAGTCTATACTCTACAACGTCATTATCTTACTAGATGTTTGGGTTGCAGTCACTTGAGATTTTAGATACTACTCAATAGTGGACATTTTCACCACAGACGTTTCTGTTGAATAGCAAATATGATATATTTCTGTAAAGTTTTAGGAATCGAAGCTCCTCTGTTCCCTGACCTCCTAAGAATCAATGCAGACCTCCTCTGAACGTCTGCGAGATGCTGAGGGCGCAACGCAAACGCGCTGGTTTCTATGAAATAAGTTGGATTAAGCTAATTTAACGCGCACTACTGAGATCAATATTTTAAATAAACAGAAGTTATATACTGACGGAGAACTTCGGTATTTCGGTAGTGCCTTCCAAAATTTGTCCGCGATCCAACTGATCATAAGTTTAACTGAAATACAAGACAAATAGAAGCAAAAGTTTGAAATGTTTGAAGATGAAATTATACAGAACACAAATATACCACCTTTGTTCAGTTTCTTTCAAAACAGAGGTGTAGGTTTTGCCGCTTTCCTACCTGCGCGCGCGCTCGGCGCCGTCTTACCTGTGGCGCGTGTTCGTGCTGGCCGGTGCTCCTGTGCTTTGTTCGGAGTTAAGACGCTGCAATGTTACCCCTGGAAACCGGTAAATAAAACCAGTTCCTCTTGAGAGACCGAAAGATAACATTAAAATGCACAAAAAGTATAAAATTGCCGTTTTCCTCATCGTCCGCACCGGCACTGTTTTTCAATTATAATCAAACGGCTTTCGAGTATAGAATTTTCATAGACCCTCTCCAGGAAAGTGTAACGCTCTTTCTGATATATATCGCCGGGGATTAACTGCCGAAGCAAATAAAACTGGGCTCATTAATACGCCACGCCGCTATTAAATGAGAGGTTACCCTCTGGACTCATTTTACACTTCCCTTCCCTGTCTAATCTGTGTGTCAGTGGCGCTCTTGCCTTTCAGCTCTTCAGGAGGGATTTAAACTTCTCAAATGTCGCGCAGCTCGCGCTAAGACGCACTGAAGTTTGGAGAGGGAGCAGATGCGGGTTTAACGCGCGCGCGGTGCGGAACGATCCTCCGTGTATAATGAGATACACAAAAAGACTGAGAACTGTATATCTCTATAATGGTTATTTCAGATGGTTTTTCTTTGGAATGAAACATCGGTCAGTTGGGCTTGTGTCTCCAGAGTACTATAACACCTAGCATAAAACACCGGGAAATTATATTATTAAATGGTTTACCAAGCTTTTCAGTATTACGTTTATCCGGGTTATAGAGTAGATTCTTCTTACAAACCAGCCAATAATGCTCAGTGCTATATCGTATATGACACAAATGAAAAGATAATAACGAGCGCCCTTAGTTTAGACTAAATCTTAACAGCCTGATAGCAAATCAACTTGCAGAAAAAAACCTGGCTTTAAAGGAAATTCATTACTTAATTTTACACAAGTGGCAACAACATGTTTTGTGTTAACGACATATTTATGTTTATGTCTTAATGTCAGATACTGGTGTATCGACAGAAACAATGGGCAATGATAAACGCCTGGTGGCGCTATAATGCAAACAATCACCTGCCAAGGCTTACCCCGTATCTTGCGTTCAGACCCGTTAACGACATAAACTATAAAACCATTTAAAAACCTCTCGATTTTTAGTTTTCTGCCTGTTTTGACAGATGGAAACTTGACCTTCTGTGGAAAATCAAGAACACGCCGGCACACATGTGCTCATAAATATATCTGTATTGTGCCATCTGAGACAAGGATAAAGTCGAACTGTACATTCATTAGGTCCTATTGTTCCGCTTTGATCAGAACTCGCTGTACCCGACATTGTAAGGTATAATACATGACATGACATTGATTTAGTCTGTTTTGTGATTTTTTGGGATGGGTCATGCTTAAACATTTTTGCACAGATCATTCACTTCATCCAGTTTTCTGTCTTCTGCAAATAACACATCCCACTGACGATATTGAAGTTGTTCCACAACCCTCACCAACGTTTAGGAAAATAAAATAAAATGAAGCAGAAATTTTAAAAAATTAAATACTTTCCACACATGATATCTGAATCGAAAGGTACGGTCAGTTGTGTCCTTCAGTAAGTGCCCGATCATTCATTCCATAAAGATAATAATGTACAATAATGACCATAACAGACCTTTAGTGAAACAGGACACTTCTTTCAGAGAAATAACAAATATATGCAATGGCGTATCAAAGTGTTTGATATTGGGGGAACACAACTAAATTTAAATACAAAGGTCCATTTATTGAGGGGGAGGGATGAATCTAAATATTGGGGGTAACCCCAACTTCCTACACCTTTGGATAGGCCTATAAGTTAGTTCATGCTAGTGAAGGGAGTCCTATTAATGCATGTCTCCTAAATAATTTTTTTGTTTATGTATAATGTACACAGAAGAGGAATGCAACTCTACTCCAGATCCTGACTGACACTTTCCTATACACAATGCCATCAATCGGTCGTGTGTGAACCTTATCACTTGTCAATCACCTTTCATGCGTATCATTTTAAAAATGATAGCTGTATATTTCACGTGTTTAATGTATAATTAAAAATTTAAAAAAGAACGGGAACTAGGCAAAACGTGACCAGAATAGTGTCACGTGATGTTCGTGGTGACTGGCGATGTAAACTCTGTGGTTGCTTTCCCTGTTAATTTCTTTAATCGCTGCTGCTAGAATCAGTCTGTTTGCTTTCACTGGCGGCTTCTGAGCACAGACTTCTATGAGCCACCACACAATTAACATTTATGAGTATTTTTCTGTCGTTATTACCGTTTTCCTTGAGATTCAGTTTGTAAATGTCCAAGGCCTTCATAAACCGAAGACGTGAGCCTGGAATACACTGTGAGAGATTTTGTTTACACATGGTACTGCATTACATTGCACAGATTCCGCTTCAGTGCCGTTTTCTGGATTCTGTAGTACAGCTCCCTCTAGGGCTTAAAGAACATCATTAGAGCTTCGTATTTTTTGACAGCCGACCCACTGGAGGTCTTGGGCCCAAAAACCGTGACCCGATACTCGCACCTTTGCTAGGTTGAACTGCCAGTACTGGTGCCCCCTAAAAACGTAGAGGTGTCCATCAGAACGGCTTAGGGCTCCGTGGGCTCCACGAGGAAGCCCCCTCCAGTCCTCCAGGCCTCGGGGGTAGTAGGGCTCCAGAAGCAGCGTCTTCAGGTTCAGAACGAAGTACTGGGAGTTCTTGAACAGAATCATGTGCCCAAGAGGGGCGTAATAGAAGGCACAGTCGGGGCGTCGGGGCAGGCCGGCCTTTGCGTGGTTCTTGGGAAAACCGGGGTCCAGGCTACTGTTTGAGTAGCGCCATAAGCGTCTGCCTGTAGACCGAGGCATGGAGGGAGCGCTTTAATTAATATCTACTGAACGACGCTACAGGGCACATCTCTATGGAACTGCCAATACAGTATTAAAAACAGACAGTTCAGGTAATAACTTAAGAAACTAGTAAAATTCGACACTATATTATTTTTCCTTCACGTATTCATAAAGGGGTTTTGGCTTATTTATATCCTGAAATTATCTTGGGGAATTTTAAGAATCCTAATTTATTATGTCGTAGCTCAGCCAACTGCATGGCGGCTTCGCTACAAAATGAGGCTCAGTGCAGTGCGCCTGGGGATGGTGCGTCTGCTTTGGCATCCATTTCTCGGCATACCTTTGAAGAAGTAGAACTTGCTATCCACTGGGGAGAAGGCAGCAGCCTCGATGGTGGGGGGCAGCTGTGGCCAGCGCCGCTGTAGTGGGGCAGGTGCACTCACATCTCCCTGGGGTGACACCACCCAAAACAGGCCCCCACGGAACACTAGGACTGTCTCGTCCTGGTCTGAAAGACAATGACACAACAGACGCCGATATGAGAAGGTAGAATGGACTCTCACATACTCTCCGAAGAGTAAGCAACAGTGAACATCACATTTTCCAAGCAGACAGGCATCCATGCAGCAAGCTTTCATCATGATATTCTCCTGTTTTCAGAGAGCCTAATTTTGCTTCACCTATGGCAGGAACCCTGAGAACATGATCCACAAGGGGGCGCTGTCAACATTCAGTAAGCCTAAAATGTGCTTTTTGTGAAGAAACAAGTAATCAGTATAACTTGTTGGTGTTGGGGTTGTTCAGTTAGCGCTACAGTGGCTTCCAGGTTTGGCTGTGGAGGGTTTTAGGCTAGTGGTTCAGAAACGGTGGTATGCATACCTCCAGTGATAGACTGCCATCAGTTGGTACACAAGAAGACTGTGCCAATTTGCACTCATGTGGTACTTGACCACTTTGGTTTGATCCAAAGTAAATGAAGGTTACATTTATATAACTTTTCAAGACACCCAAAGCGCTTTACAGAAGCAATGGGGAGCCACTTCAACCACCCCCACTGTGTAGCCCCCACCTGGATGATGCGACGGCAGCCATTCTGCACCAGTACACTCACCACACAGTAGGCGAAGGGGCAGGAATTCACCAATTCGATATAGGGGGTGATTAGGAGGACAGATTTGACAGGGACACAGTGTGGAACTTTAGACAGAACATTGGGGTACCACCCCTACTCTTTTATGACCTCAGAGAGTCAGGACCTCTGTTTTGTCTGAGGGACAGCACCATCTTTACAGCACAGTGTCACCCTTCATTGCACCAGGGAACTGGGATCCACACTGACCACAGGCTGGGTTAACTTGTTGGCCATACCAATACCTCCTCCAGCAGCAACCCAGCTTTCCTGGTTAGTCTCCCATCCTGCTTAGCTTCAGATGGATTACCTAGTCAACCTGGTGGCATGCAAGTGGTAGTTCAAGAGGTTTGAGAACCAGTGTCTTAGGAGATCTTTGGAGACTAGGCATTGTGGGACTAATGGAATTACAGGCCTGATTTGGCTGGTATAAAACTGTCATTCATGATCAAGGCTTGGTGGGATTCAGTGTTACCCATGGTGATGGCATCGAAGTTGCTCTCGCAGTACTGGGGTGGGCTGGACCCCCGGTCTTCCTCAGTCTGGGTCTGCTCCCAATCCTGCAGAGCTGACATGAACGCTCTCCCGGATGACTGTGTTAACTTTCCATCAGCGGGCTTTCCTGTAGACACAGTGAGATACACATGAGCTGCCTGTTAGTGATGGCCAAATGAAACTCCATAAACCATTTTCTGACCCTAAGAGATGGTACCCTTCTTTGTTTTAAGGCATGCTTTGAGCCCTTTTTTGAACAGAGAGCACCATCTAATGGTATCAGAAAATACAGCAAATGGTTCATGAAACTTCTTTCGGTCATCACTACCACCTGTTAACCTGAATAAGTCGTCATTGTGTTGACCTTCTGTAAATGGTCAACACTTGCATTAATTTTCATGCTGTGTTTTTGTCATTTTAATAAGATACAAAAATAACTGAAGAACTTGCTAAATTTAATTTCAGTTAGATGTTATGGTAGTAACTAGTGATGGACAAAATGATGCTTCATGAACCATTTGCTGTATTTTTTGACCCCACTAGATGGTGCTCTTGGCTTGCTTTGGGGCATGCTTTGTGCCCTTTTTTGAAGAAAGAGCACCATCTAGTGGAGTCAAAAAATATAGCAAACAATTCAGAAAGCGTCATTTTGTCCATCACTAGTATTAACATGAGTCCAAGTCAGAAATCGAAACAATCCCCTGAATTATTTACCTTACGCTACTGATGATGACATTCACATGGTAATATTCACTGAACCAAAAAGACAAACGTGATTATTGTCGCATTGGGGCCTGGACCACGCCCCACAGCGGACGCAACCCGGATGGGAACTGCCCCTTTTAGTTAAAAGGACGGTCCTGGACCAGCAGACTTTGCGAAGTATTGTTGCAATTGTTTAGATGTGCCTTGCTGAGCGTTTGATCGTCTATTGTCTCTCTCTCCTGCCCCGCGTATCCTGCCCGCCCTGTCCTCCTCGCCTGTCCCGCCTGCCCGCCCTGTCCTCCTCGCCTGTCCCGCCTGCCCGCCCTGTCCTCCTCGCCTGTCCCGCCTGCCCGTCCTGTCCTCCTCGCCTGTCCCGCCTGCCCGTCCTGTCCTCCTCGCCTGTCCCGCCTGCCCGTCCTGTCCTCCTTGCCTGTCCCGCCTGCCTGTCCCGGACCTCCTGTCATCCTGCCTCCTGCCTGTTCCTGCCTCCTGTCCTGCCCTGCCCCGTGTCCGGTGTGATCGTGTAGGACTGATCTCCTTGGCTTACGACCCTTCTGCTCCGTCTCTGACTACGTCTCCAGTGCTGCCCTTTGGATTTGGTGTTTATCGGTGTCATAATAAACCAGGTGTTTCCCGCATTCTGGGTCCCGACTCTGGTGTCCTGCCTGATCATGACAATTATAATAATATAAAGCCAATTTAAGACATTCGTACTCCATAAAACGACAATGATAAACACTGCCTGGCTCTCCAGGAACATTACTGATACTATGGGGAATAAGACAAATAAAAGAAAAAGTAATGGTTTTCAAATTTCTACAATGAGACACATTTAACAGTGGTCCCTTGGATAAGTAAAAAAATATCACATATCCATTCTGTTTGCAAGACATGGAGAAAATATTTAGGCAGCAGATAAAACTGACTTCCCAAAAGGGCAGCTGACAAAAGTGTAATGCGATAGCTCTCCTTAATCGTGTTTGCACTGTTTCGTTTGCTTCAGGGAGTGAACGAAAAAAAGAGGATCCTTGGTGTAAACAATGAAGGTTGTCTGAAAGGTTCTTTGTCGGTGCCAGTGATCTCTGCAGGCTCTGGAGGGGTGAGTGCCTTCCCTAGACCCTGGCTCTCCCTGAGTCTCCCTGCTCCATGATATAAACGGTGATCCTCTCCCTTGACCGCACCCAGCGGAATTGTGGGAGAATTGTGGGGGAGTGTGACAAACGGCTCCCCCGGGTAACGGTCTGTGGGAGAGAGCAGACGGGAAAGGGTGGAGCGTATTTGCTGAGGTGAAGTCAGCCATTCGGGCTTGTAATGCCGGGTCACCAGAGCATGGATTCCAAGATTCCCATTATTCATAGCCCACTCTCTGCCTTCCAGATGCATATAAAACTCATTTCTAGCCATTTCTAAACTAGAAACAGAACAGTGAACAGATAGAAACAGGTAGAACAGTGTAGTTGTTCTATTATTTATCACAGTGACTTTATCAGTCACTATGATGTCCTGCTGATTGATTACACCCTTGTGCAAATGAATTGAAACAAGTTGTCATACACATGCATCCTGCGGTCTGGGACCTGCTGGTTTGCACAGCCAACAGGGTAGAGAGGATGCTGAGTGGATGGACAGAGCAGGCACTGTGCCCACAGACTGGCAGGCCTGCTCAGGTGGGGTTAGAGCTGAGTGGATGGACAGAGCAGGCACTGTGCCCACAGACTGGCAGGCCTGCTCAGGTGGGTTTTAGAGCTGGGTGGATGGACAGGGCAGGCACTGTGCCCACAGACTGGCAGGCCTGCTCAGGTGGGGTTAGAGCTGGGTGGATGATCTTTAACTGTGGTAATTCTGTCTACATATAGAAGCGACAACTTGTTTCAATTAATTTTTGTTGTAGCTGTTTACAAGTACACTAAATTGGTTCCGTTAGCCGTGTAAATTTCTTTTCTACAACCACAAAATCATCTGGCTATAAGCCTACAAAAAATTAAACAAAACTCAAACTAGAAATCAAGAAATGTGTATCCTCTTCTGGGGCCCAGAGAAACACCGCTCCTGTCTGTCTCAGAAGCCTCTGACTTTTTACCGTTCAGCATGTCCCCGGATAAATCTGCAATTATTCTTTCCACAAAACCCATTTCTATGGTATTTCGCAGGTGTGAAGCATGTGATACTGGGTCAAACCCCAGCCAACATTCCTGCGTAAACAGCCCTCGGTGAAAAACAGCAGCACAACCCGATCATCCCACCCAAGGAGAGACAGGGGTAGGGGTGCAGCATCTGTAGCGTTCTCATACCACGTCTGGGAGCACTTGAAACATCTCCTAGAGTTGTTTCAAGAGTTGTTAGAGAGATGTTGACATGAAGGAAGTAAAATACAGATGCTTCTCACTTTACGATGGTTTGACTTACAATATTTTGACTTCACAATGGTGCAACAGCGATGCACATTTAGTAGTCATAAAGCTTTGAATTTCATTTGTTCCTGGGATATGAATGAATTGGAATGAATGGAAAATTAACCTGGATTACAGCTTAGCTTACTGGTGATTAGACGAGAACCTGATTAACATCCTTTCCTTGATAAACACATGAACAGTTACATCTCAGTAAAGGTCCATGATAAAGGGACCCACTTAATATCACGTATAAGGAATATTATTCGATTGGGAATGCTCAGTAAAATGCACTGTTCTTTTTGACTGGAAAATTTGACCAGTAAAATGTAAGTAAAACTACGTATGGCTCACAAAGGTGTGTGTGAATAATTTTATGGTGTACTTTAATAAAATCACTTCCAGGTGTGAAATGGGAAGCTGTCATACATGGATAAGATTTCACAGGAAGATGGAGCCTCATTCCATGTCAGTGTTTCCCAAATTACATCATACAAAAATAGGTATCGTGTGGGGGCTCAGTGTGGGGGCTCCGTGGGTTAGTAGTGTAGCTTCACAGGCAGGGGCCGATTAACTTATTTGCGGATTAATTTATCCCCCTAGGTTGACATCAGCAGGAACACTCAGGTGCTGTGAATTTGAATGACCGTACCGTTTTTCCTGAGGAGGGGTGGGGCTGAGTATTATTGGGGCCCTAGACTTGGTGTAGGATAGCTTATGCAATAATAAGCCCCTATTCACACATCCAGGATGGTTCTTTCTATTCTCTGTGTTTATGGGCATAGTCTGAGGGTACAGTGAGTGCAACTGCACCCCCTATTGGTCAGATAAAAATGCTATTTGAATGTATTAAATTCAATATAATTAAATTACATTATAAAGTTATATTTAAAAATGTGGCTTATGTTAGTCACATCAGTGTGTCACAATAATTTATTGCAAATGTATTTACTATTGTTTTTACAAATCTGTTTATCTGGATGAATGACTGGTTGGGCTCTCTCACCTTGCATCTCATGTGAGAAAAGCCTTTAGTTACCTATGCTTCTCAGTACTTTGATTTGTTCTGCAGTCCAAAGACATGCGGTTAGGCAAACTAGTGTATCCAAATTCCCCATAATGCACAGCTGTGCTAGTGGGTGTGGCCTGTAGTGGATGTGCCTTCTCAGATTGGCTGCAGACTCACCATGACCCTGTACTGGAGAAGCAGTCACTGTTTCACTGTCAGATGATGAGGGTGTATTATAGTGATGGACAAAATGATGCTTCATGAACCATTTGCTGTATTTTTTGACCCCACTAGATGGTGCTCTTGGTTTGCTTTGTGCCATTTTTGTAAACATACGGCACCATTTAGTGGGGTCAACAAATAGAGCATGATGCATTATTTTGTCCATCACTAATACATTATTACTGTGCACCAACACATTAACATAGCACAACCTCCACTGCAGCTACTTGACTACAGCGGCAGTCCGGCTCACCGTAGAGCTGCTGCACGGCGATGATGTCATCCCAGCTGAGCACCAGTGCCTTTCCCAGCTTCCTGTAGTATGGCGACATCAACGCCTGGCGCAGTGGCGAGTGCTCCAGCCCCAGCGTGTGGCCGATCTCGTGTGCGACCACCATGAACAGGTTGTGCCCCTTGCGGCTGTGCAGTGTCCAGCGCTCGGCCATGTCGAAGTGTGCCTCTCCCCGGCAGGGGAAGAACGCATGTGCGAGAGCGCCCCCTGTGAGTGAACATGCAATACTGCAGGCATGATAAGCTAACTTGATGCGGGTATCGACCTGCCTGACGTGTATGGTATCAATTCATGAACAATTCTCAGTTTCTCTTGCACTGCACTATCATATGGAACCTGGAACACTGATCATGACATAAATCACAAAGATGGAATATTTTACAGCCTCATTGGACCCATACATTTTTTATTCTGGACTTTCATCGTGCAAACTGTAACAAAACCATATGTACATTTTTTTTTATCCCCTGATTCATAAACTTACAAGAATAAAACAGATTTCTGAAGTGTGTGAGTTGGTATTTTGCCAGTACAAAGAGAAAAATCTAACAAACCCTAACCAAGCTGGTAGTTTGAAGATATATTCAAAACACTGACCTGGCCACACGCACTATGCGTATTCTCTTGAAAGCCTTAAAATAGCATTTACGGTAAAAGCAATTTGAAGAAATTCCAGGATACATTTGATCACTTCCTTTTTTTGCTATCAAAAGCATAACTCATTGAAAAGAAACAGTGTGAAGAGTTTAGCCTATAACAAAGTGTGGCCAGACCCAGTACTTGTTCATTTATAAAGCCATTCTGGGTAAATTTCCTTCCTACTTATCCTCACTCCTGACCTGGAAGCAAGGACGTCATAATCTTCGCTCGATGGACTTTTTAAATCTGGTTGTTCCTAAAGTAAGAACTGAACTGGGAAAGAAAGTCTTCAGGTTTTCAGCACCTTACACATGGACTTCAAGCTGAACTCCGTCTGCACAACTTAATACCCCTGAAGGAATTTAAAACTCTTCTAAAGACTCTGGAGACTAGGGTGTCTGTATGTAAATGTATATTCTGATTATGTTTTTGTAATATTATGCAAGACTCTGCACTAACACTGTGTTGCTGCTACCTTGGCCAGGTCTCCCTTGAAGAAGAGATCTGTGATCTCAATGGGACAAACCTGGTTAAATAAAGATTAAATAAAAAAATAAATAAAATAATCAGGAGTTTTGATACACAACTTACATTAGCACATGTATGCCCTTTGTAAAATAGCAGTGACACTTTTTTAACTATATCCTCCTGAGACCCGACCTATTCATTTATGTCCATTGTAGTGGACATTGTATTTTTGCATTTATTTTTTCACTGATGTTGGGAAACATATTTATTCTTGTTGTGCACTAAAGAGGACACGCTGTGAAATTAAAATAAGAATAAATTTGAAAAAATCTAAATTGTAAGATGTCTTATTTCCTCCAAAGACAAATAACCTACAATTGAAGGACACTTTTTTCCTTGAGTCTCAGGAGGATAAAGACACTTTTGAGCAAATCGCTAGCTAATGTAAAGTTTACTAAGCATGATCAAGCCTATAGAATTCAGGGCTTCATAAAGACTCAATTTTTGTTACTCATTAAGCAGTCAATTGCTCCACGATATTTTTCATTTAGTCCAATGTTTCCCAATCCGATCCTTGGGGACCCACAGTCAGTCCATGTTTTTGATCACTCCCAGTTCCCTACCAGACAGTCCACATTTTTGCTGGGAAAAAACGTGGACCGTCTGTGGGTCCCCAAGGACTAGATTGGAAAACACTGCTTTAGTCATATTTTCCCACACCGGCGCTCTAGCAGTCTACCGGCTTTTGAGTCATACGGCATCTCTACAGTGTTTGTGTACCTGCAGAGCAGCAAGGAGACGCTCGACCACGATCCCCCACCTGGGCCGTCGAACGCGTTCCCTGTGCCGTCATCGTGCTCGCCCTCGAAGAAGGCCAGCCGGATATCAGCCGGTCCCTCGGTCACCTCCCGGAAGGCCAGGGCTGAGACGTTGCTCCACAGCTGGAAGGCGGCACGCACGGCCAGCTGCACCTGGGCCGTGGAGAGGTGGCGAGGCCCATTCACGATCCGGTAGGTCAGGTGACGCTTCTGCCACCTGTCCCCTGTAGGGAAGCCCAGCACACAGGAAGGACAACCATGTGATCACTTTCATGCGACTCTCATTGGACTTTCCACCAATCAGCTGCCTCACAGCACCAAGTATCCATGAGAAACTAAACATCACAACCCTAGAAAGATGCAGGGGCGACTGTGTCGAAATGCAAATATTACAATGCTGGGATGTTTTTTTTTAAACTATACACATCAGTTTGCAGAAGAACAGTATATAATGGGATAATACTGCAGAAAAACTGATAATCTGCAGAAGCCTCCACAGGCTTCCAATATAAACTGGAACCAAAACAGTTTTTTTTTTGGAAAGTGCAGTATTACAGAGTTTCATTTGGATCCTTGGGATGTTGTCTGGAGATTAGCAGAATAAATTTAGCATAACTTTCTGGTTAAATTCCTCTTAGAGCAAGTTGCAGGCTCAGATCCCAAGAGGCAGTCTGTTGTTGCAGCCTTGAGCTATGTACAGTACTTAGCTAAAATAGCTACATCTGGCTTTATAGATGGGTAAACCCTAAGCTACATCGCTTTAGTTAAAAAAATAAGTAAATCACATAGGATGAAAGCATTTCCTAAAACTCCACTTTATTAAACTCTACACTGATGTACAGCATTGTATGGAGACCATACACATCGAGTGACAGCGCGGCTTACAAGCCCTCTTTGGTTTCAGGCCTTCTGGACATTTTCAGTCTTATCAGGCACCACAAAGCATGTGTTAGTCATGTGGCTCTGAATCTCCCAGCTCAGTGGCAGGCCCTTCATTCAGAAACAGGCCACAACAAATGATGCCGTAAGGAGCTTCCAAAGAAACAGCAGATATGGGGAACAGATCCATCAATCGACGAAGGCCAGACAGCCAACTGGACAAAACGGCAGAATTATATCATGGCAAGGGGCTTTAGCAAAGCCATGAGAATGCTCACTAGCGGCCACTAGAGGGTACAACGATACTGCGGCTGAGTGCCCGAATGCTGCAAACACACCACAGTGGTGTCAGCGGCGTCCATACAGCAGAGCTCGCTGACTCACTCTCTCTGTGAGAAGCACGAGGGTCGCCTGCAGCCGTGGGCCGACGCGCAGCCACACCGATAATTAAGACAAATGGGTCTCGGCTGGACATGTGGTCATTACCGCAGACGACGCAGACCGAGTTCTCAGGTCTCTGTGGCAGAGCGGCGCACCTCGTGTTTAAGAGGGAGGCGATCACAATGGCAGATTAAAGCGGGCCCTGAAGGTACAACAACAGGGGCCAGGATGTTGGGCACTGAAGATATTCCCCGACTTCCCTTATGGAAGTCATTACAGCCACCGTTTAGAATGGGAGACAAACACAAGGAAGTGCTTTACATTCCTACAGTAGATCGAGATTACTGGCCACTTCAGAAAAGAGAACCCTTCAGGTAAATTTAGGGCTTTAGCTCTTTGTCTATATATAAAGTAATTCCTACATATAATTGAAAATTCCCAAAGGAAAAGCCTTTCAGTTATATCATTTTATACATATAATTTCTCTGTTTAGTCTTAGATAAAAGATAAAAACAATTAAATACAGGACAAGCCTTTTTCATTCAAAAACAAAGGATCTACATCTAAATGATTTCTAAACAATTATATACTTAATACATTTCCAGATAACTTTAATTACCTATCTGTTGAAATTGAAACTGAAAACTGTTTATAGGAGTGTTATGCAGATAGAGACCTCCCAGAATTGTCTGCTTAAATTGGGCACAGTCATGTGTCATTCGTATCAAACTTGCCTCCGGTCACAGTCAGGCTTAACAGAAGGATACTTATGTTAAATAAAGCCACGTTTGTTGAAAAAGGACAATGCAAAAGCCTACATTGTACACACCCATGACCAGACTGGTGTATAGACCATTTCATACTGGATTTGGAATGTGGGGCTTTTCTGTAATGGGTTATGGCCAGACTGACCAAATATAAGACACACTTGTATGATTCTTAATGCATTCTCTGGTCATCTGAATATGTTAGAATAAGAAATTACAATTAATTCTGACGACGGCAAATTCTCCCTTGGACCCTATTCAGATCGGAGCAATCTTCTGCTCCCCCCCCCAAAAAAAATAGCAACAACATCTTTCACGACTGTCCCAGTTGGCTTGATGAAACCAGAGTCTCACTGTAGTAACATGGGGTCTCCAGCGATCAGCAGCCCCTCAGATTTTTGAGATATTTCAGATAAACACAACGGCCCAGGCTGCAGCTGTTAGGTATTCGCAAGTGGTTGGATAATCGTCTTAATGGCTACATTCCTGAAGCATGAATGAACACTTCCAGTAGATGTAGAATTTATAGTCACCACCACACAGCAACAATACAACAAAGAGTCGAGAAGAATATTTTGTATATAAAGCATTAGAAATTGACTATTTAGAACAGAACAGAACACAACAGAATAGAATAGAACAGAACAACATAACACAATAGAATAGAATAGAATAGAATAGAGATATTTTATTCATCCTATTGGGAAATTCCCTTTTCCAGTGTTCTCCATGAAACACACCAACACGTACACAGGTGGCAGCAAGCTTGGTGGTCACAATGCAGGGTCATTTGGAGACACTTTGGCCAATAATCTTTGCAATATATATTAAAACATTCTAGCCAATTCAGAAACATGTTACAATAGCAATGATAACACTGATCATTATCATTTTTCTCTGAGGAAGATTACGAATAATTTTTAATAGCGGCCATGCTCTGCCTCGGTGACCTGTTAACTACGACACTTGGTGTGAAGTTCACATGGCCAGACCGAGCTCTGGAGGTCATTTTCAGCCCTGGGACAGACCCCACACAATCGGCACAGACAGCATTCCTGAGCCACTGAGGGCAGGTCTACACAGTTCCACTGGGAAGGTCTCCGAGCAAGCTGTCACGAGTCTTAATTACACCTCAGTCAATTCTGCAGTCAGTACAGTAGGTTTCAACACAGGCTTTGTGGGTTTCCAGGCACAATGCCCAGTGCTGATGGACAGCGGGATGAGAAAAGTACTTTTTGGGAATTGCAATGCATCTATAAATATGCTATCACCTTAGATGGTGACAGATACAGAACAGATACTGAAATCAGATACCTTCTTTGAGCCATAAAAAAGCAATATCTATCTAACCTACAAAGACCTCCGCTACATTACAGTGCTACAAATAAATTTACATTGTTAAATGACCGGAAATAAGTTGCAAGACATTTAACCTCCTGAAAGCCCATGTGTCAGTCAGGGAAACACTTTATACAGTGAGTATTTCATTTCATTAAGGGATTAAGGAATACATCAAACATGGATTTATAAAAATTGCAGTACAAAAGTAATTGAGCTGCTTTTCTGCAAAAAATTATGTATTCAGTTTTGTGAATATTTTTATGTTAACACAAAGGCAGTACCTTTCAGAAGAAAATCTTGTAGACAAGTTTCGGCATTTCAATAACACTTTTCTTAAACCATTGATCATTTTCTTAAACCATTGATGAAACATTATAGATACCTTCATAATGCACTCAAAGTATTATGAACATGGCTATAACTATTTATCAAAAGGCATAACTGTCAGGGTCAGCTCCAGTTCCACTCTGTGTCCCTTCCCTCTTTGGCCAGCAGGTGTTGCTGGTCATCCCATCCCTCGTGTTGTCAGTCTTTGTGTTTGCCCCTGTTGCCTGTTGGCTGCATGGCTCAGCTCATTGAGCATATGATTATCTGTGAACCCCTCTGTCATGTGTTTGAATCCTGTCCCCTCTGTTTTTGTATTTTGTTCCCTAGTGTTTCATTTGTATGAGTTTTTCTAGTTCTTGTGTCTGGTGATTTTTGTATTTAGTTTTGGTTTCTTGTTTTGAGCCTTAATTGTGTTTTATCGGTTTTTGTTATTCCCAGTGTTAGATTCTGTTTCCCTGTTCCTTGGTTAGTTCTTAGTGTCCCTGTTTAGTTCTTTTGAGTTAATTAGTTTCACCTGTGACCTGTTTTCCCAAACCTTGTTGATTGATCTCACCTGTCCTTTGTTAGTCTTGTTACTTCTCTGTATTTAAGTCCCTGCCTCTGTTCAGGGGGGTATTCCAGAAAGCTTGGTTAACTTACCATTTGGTAAACCATAACCTCTGGGTTGATATACCCCAAACCCGCATACCATGAGTATGTCGGTTCCAAAACACCTGAGAAGAGTAAGTTCAATCAACCTCCTATTGGTTACCCAGAGTTAATGCGCGTGCACCGTGCATACATAAAGACGT